AAATCCAGGAAAAGGTGGGCACCATTGCACTGATTTGGTGGTGCAATGGGCCTCTTGACTGGTTTTGCCCCCCAGGCCTAAGGCTGCCAGCCCTCCCCTGATAGGTACTGTGCAGTGCTGAGTGAGGAAGCACCTCTAGTGGCTGTCTTAGTGACTAGGAGGTTTTACTAGTCACTAGCAGTAATGTAAACACAGCTTTTTCTCTGAAGCTATTTTTCTCACTAAGTTATTGATGTACTGGTGACTATTTTGTCCCTTTAATGTTCGATCTATATGCAACAAATGTGTGTCATATTTTATCTGTGTCTGTGTGTGTACAGACACACACACAACAAAACTAATTTTGTCTTTCATAAGTACTTTTCTCTACTAAAAGGTGCACTGGAAATAAAATATTTTGGGATTATGAATAGACAAACTTTTATTTTATACAGTTACATGGATTACTAGATTTGCGATACTGAAATTAGTACAAAACATATTGTCCTCTGTAACAAGATCAGTCAGCCTAGGTCAAAGAAGTGTTTTTTTAGCTGTTTATCATAAGGTCACATCTAAATACAATTGCACACATACAAATAGCCCTTGGTTGCCAAACATGTATTGGAAAGGCTTACAGGTTAAGGAAAATTGCATTTATCACTTCAAATATCGAAGTTAACCTTTTGAGTGCTCTTTGAAATGAACAGTGAATATGTATTGCTTGCAGTAACAGTTTGGTCTGGATCAGTGGCGTCTCTAGGATTCATTTTTCGGGGGGGCACATGGAGGGCCAGTGACAAAAGTAGGGGGGCACATTTAACCCCGCCCTCGTCACATGTTAAGCCACGCCCCGACACAATGTGTTTTGTTTTTTAATAATACCTGGTGGAGGATTCATGATTTTCCACCAGGGATTATTAAAAAAACACACATTATCCTTGATACAGTGCCATAGTTGCCAACATTTGAAAAAAAAAAATTCCAAGGACATTTTGCAGCACAGCTATCAATTACTGTCTGGGTATAATATCCCTGGACAGTCAGTGCTCTCTGTATAATACAGGGTTGTGTGTATAATAAATTGGGACACTCAGTGCTCCCTGTATAGTGCTGCTCTCTGTATAATCCCAAGACAGAGAGCAGCACTATACAGGAAGCACTGACTATCCCGGGATATTTTATACACACAGATCTGTATTATTCAGATAGCTGAGCATATACCCCAATCTCTAGACTACTAGTACCTGTCAACAGCAGCTCCCAGACGCGTGTAACAGGGCTAAAGTGTGCGGCAGCTCACACAGATTATTCAGCGGTAAAGTGCCCTCGCTGGCAGAGCCAAACTGGGAATCCCTGGGAATCCAAAGCAGCCCTGGAAAAAAAACGTATGCCATTCCTACAAGTCAAAATATATATATATATAGTACAGTAAGCACACAAGCTCACTGACATGCGCAAATAGGCTTACTGACAGACAAAACTCTCTGACTCACACACAAGCTTACTACAGACAAACTCACTTGTATAAAACAGAAGGCTCACTACAAAGAAGTTCAGGGACACACACAAGCTCACTAAAGACAAGCTCACTGACACACACATGCTCACTAAATAGAAGCTCACTGACACACACAAGCAGCACCATTTTAACAGAGTTAAGGGCCCCTGGGCAAAGCAATACACTGGGGCCCTTCCTACACAACAACTCACAGGAATTTTAATTATTGATAGACTGCGGAGTCCATACACACGCACAGACTGCTGAGTCCATACACACACACAGACTGTTGAGTCCATACACACACACACACACACACACAGACTGCTGAGTCCATACACACACACACACACACACTGCTGAGTCCATACACACACAGATTGCTGAGTCCATACACACACACACACACTCTGCTGAGTCCATACACACACACACAGACTCTGCTGAGTCCATACACACACACACACTCTGCTGAGTCCATAGACAAACACACACTCTGCTGAGTGCATACACACACACTCTGCTGAGTCCATACACAAACACACACAGACTGCGGAGTCCATACACACACAGAGACTCTGCTGAGTCCGTACACACACAGACTGCTGAGTCCGTACACACACAGACTGCTGAGTCCATACACACACACACTCTGCTGAGTCCATAAACACAAACACACACACTCTGCTGAGTCCATACACACACACAGACTGCTAAGT